TTCACATTTTTTATAAAATAAAATGACAAAAAAATAAAAAATTTGATACCCATTTTTTTTTACTTCAATTTTATGGTCTTCACTAAAAAAAACAAAATTCGATCAAAATTTTTGGCATGGAACGGACATAGATATTTCGATTGCAACCATAATTACCAATAATTCTTCTCTACCATGCAAACCTATAAACAAACGCATAAATCTCACTAAAATTGAAACCAAAAGCAAACCAACAGTAGAGAAAGAGAATCACACAGGTAAAAAAAAAATAATAAATTTTTTTTTTTAGAGTTGGAGTTAAGTAATTTAAAATTTTGATATATATACATCATAAAAATAGATAATTATATTACTAAATAATAATTTAAATTTAGATATTGTCATATTTTTTTTGGATCCATATCTAAATTCTTATTTTTTTTTAAAATTTTTGTATGGTTTCTATTCGGGGGGTTTTTTTTTTTCAATTTATTTAAGATGGAGTTGTGGATATCTATTTTTTTTAAAAAAATTTAATTTATTTGTGGTTTCTATTTGTTTTTAACTATTATTATTTAGGTAAGTTATGATGTGAGTTAGATTTGTGATAGACATGTGAGTTTTATTGATTTAAAGTATAATGGTTGGAGATATTTTCAAATTAGATTTGTTTACATAAACTTTTAAAGATTTTTAAAATTTAAAATTGGATATTGAGATGCAAAAGAAAGATTTTAACTGAATAAATAAAAATCAAATTTATTAATTTTATCTATTTATATATCTGTTTTTTTTTTTGTTACGTTATAATATAATATAAAAGATATAGATAGATATCTACAACTTTCATGAAAAACATTATCTAATTTTTTAGAGAAAAAAGAAGGAAGTCAAGTTTTAATATTTTTTTGGGAAATCAGTGAGAGAGATTAGGATGGAGAGATTATGAAATATTTTTGTTATTAAATAAATAAATCAGTTATTTTTTAATCTATTTTATAAATTAAAAAAGCAATAATTTTAGAAAATTGATTAATTTGTCTCATTAAGTGATTTAAAATTTTGATAGACATATATCAAAAAAATAGATAATTATATTACTAAATTATAATTCAAATTTAGATATTATATCTTTTTGAGATCCATAGCTAAATTTTTATCCTTTTTATTTTTGTGTATAACCATAGTGTATGGGAGTAATTGAAAAAGGTGTTGCAGTAATTATGAAAAAAATCAAAAAAGTTTGTGAGTTAGATAAATCAATAAATGCTGAGTTTATTTTTATTTTTATTTTCTTAAAATCAAATCTCTTTTTTCTTATATAATATATATAGATTTCAACCCACAATAATCAATTCTAGATAACACCCTTTCCCGTCATCACCAACTTTGACAACCTTCTCCGGGTCTTTTCCCAAAATAAGCCAAAATAGTAACCTATTTCCCAAACTAAGCCTAGTTTAGATGGAATTCCCAAAGAAAAATGATTCGGACCCCCACTGGGGGTCGACCCCCAGTGAGGTGGCGCGCGGTGATTGGGTAAAAAAAAAAACTGTTTTATTTTTTTTTTTTTTTTTTTGAGTTTCAGCCAGTGGGGGCACGCCACCTCACTGGGGATGCGACCTCCACTGGGGGTCTGCAGCATCATTGATTCCCAAAATAAGTTGAAACATTATTCCAAAACACGCTTTTACAATATTTTCTGGCCCCGGCGTGGAAAATTTATAAAATTATAAAAGCATGGTTGCAAAGCACGCTTTTAATTAAGAAAGCGTGGTTAAAAACCACGGTTTTAAAGAAAACTGTTTTGTAACCACGCTTTTAATGAAAATTTGGTTTTTAAAGAAAGCGTGGTTCGTAACCACGCTTGCTTTTGAACCGACACCAACCCACAACTGTTGATTATTATTATTATTATTATTCAATCCACATTCTATAATTCACTCAGTCATTTTGTAGATATCTATATATAAATTATTCATATAAAATATCGTATTGATAAACAATCTTAGCAACCAAATTTTATTATTTTAATATTTAAAAATAAATTATGTAATTTTCAAATTATGTTTCATATCCATTATTTTTTTTTTAAAAATGATAAAATTATATATACGATTATCAGATCAATTTGATATTTACATAAATAATTTATACATAAAATTTTTAAAAAATAAATAGCATGAATTGTCTGAAGAGTAGTGATTAAGAGCTCTAAAACTAGAGTTCTGATTTAAGCTGTAATGATGTGGCATAAAAAAATAAAAATAAAACCACAAACAAGCAAGCATAAATATTATATCAAAGATTATTAGACTAAGATTTTACCATTGAATCAATGATCACCGCTTATGACTTTAAAAATATAAAAGTAAAAAAAAAATTGAAAAAATGTAAATTAAATATTTGCTTAATTTACTTGATATTTTTTAAATTGTTATTTAAATATAAATTTTTAAATTAAAATTTTATTTTGTTATATAATTCAAATATAATTTAAAAAAGATCGATGGTGGACAAAAATAAAAACAACAAATAAAAAAGTAAAAATTAAAAATTAAAAAAGAAGAAGAAAATAATGGCCTCGAGACACGCACCCTCCCCAGAAAAACATTTTGCGCAGTTTTGGACAGATTTTGTCAGGGCTTTTCCCAAACATTTTCACATTCACAACCCCTATTCTACCAGCATTTTCATCAATTCACAACATTTTCACATTCACAAACCCTATTCTATCCACATTGTATCCATATTCACATTTTCACAAACAAAACAAACACATAAAATTCAAACTGAGAGAGAGAGAGAGAGACAGACAGTCATACCAGCGAGAGAGAGCAGAGAGCGACCCACAGGGAGAGAGAGTGAGAGCAGAGAGAGACAGAGAGTGAGAGTAGTGAGAGAGTGCGAGTAGAGTGTGGGTAGGGGAAAAAAACGAAGTATACAAAGCGTGGTTGCAAATGAGGGGGAAGGGCCATTTTATATAACTTTTAAAAGCGTGGTTACGAACCAAGCTTTCTTTTAAAAGAAAATTTTCTTTAAAAACGTGGTTACGAACCACGCTTTCTTTTAAAACCAAATTTTCATTAAAAGCGTGGTTCTTAACCCCGCTTTATTTACAAAACAGTTTTCTTTAAAAGCGTGATTCCTAAGCACGCTTTCTTAATTAAAAGCGTGGTTTGTAACCACACTTTTTATGATTTTATCAATTTTCCGTAACTGGGCCAGAAATATGGTGAAAGTGTGGTTTGGAATAACGCTTCAGCTTATTTTGGGAATTTTGACCAAATTAGGCTTAGTTTGAGAAATAGGTTAGTTGTTAGGCTTATTTTGGAAAATGCCTCAACCTTCTCCACCTTTACCCACCTCTTCTCATCCCTATTCATGCCACCCTATTTATTCCTTATGTTGTGTTTGGTTGAGAGATTTGAGGAGGGATTTGGAAAAGGAAATGGAAAAGGTAGGTGAAATATGAATAAAACATGCCTAAATTTCACATAGTTTCACACACTTTTTCCCTTTCTCTTTCCAAATCCCTTCCCAAATCCTCCAACCAAACACACCATTAGTCTCTTTTAGTCATTTCCCAATATCAACAACTGCTTTCCGCCACTCTTGTAATATCCCACCATTGCAATCGCTACCTCACATCCTTTAACTCTTGCAAATCCTACTTTTTTGACCTTTAGCACACCACCCCAACCCTCCCCACCCTCCAGTGATTGGGGGACATAGAGAAACAGATGGATGGAGAAATGAATGAGCAAAATGATAAAGAGTGAAGGCAACATGATTTGTAGGAAGGAGAGATTGTGAAATAAGGAAATATTGTAGATTGTGACAATAGAAGGGTTGGGGGTGGCGCTAAAGGTGGAAGGATCTAGGGAAGCTAGAAAAAGGGACTGCTAGAGCTATAGTAATCAGGAAGAGAGGATACTAGAGGAGGCTTAAAGGTTCTTTTTGTGCCTTATGGCGCAACAGCCCTTCTGTGAGGGTTTATAGAGATATTTACCGAATGTATTTTGATTATCTGAACCGATCATATTATAAAGTTTGTCAAGAATATCATCCATATAAAAAATCAAATTAATAGGACATCTATAACTCATTGATTAAGTCCTAATTGTTTTTAAAAATTATGGTAACCGTTTATTTTTTCAAAAATAAATGTGCTATTATTATATTGCTTCAAATGTTCAAATTAGTTGATTTTTTGTGTGGATGATCTACTCGATGAACTTTATAATATGAATGGTTCGGATTATCGAAAAAGATTCGAAACACGCCTTTAATAGGCCTCAAGGTATCCTGCTAGCAGGAACCCCAATTCTTATGAATGAGTTGGCAGGGATGAAGGTCTAAAGAAAGGAGTATAGTAATAGTGGATTAATTTTGTAAGCGAAGGTCCAAGAACACACTGAAAGGTTGAACTATAATTATTAGTAACACTCTTTTATTGAGTATAAACTTACTGCATTTTTATAAATTTATAATTATTTTTTGTTTAATTTATCACTTCTCTAATTTAAATTTGTTTTTTTGTTTTACTTTTGATGAAAATTATTTTTCTTAAAAACAATTTTACTTATATTTTTTAATTAGGTTAGGAGATAAAGAGATAAAAGTTGATTTGGTAGATAAAATGTTTCTTTATTGAAGAAATATTTGATGATTCTTCTCACATTCTACACTCGTTATAGGTGGCAGCCGAATGTACAAATGCTACGATCCCCATCCCTAATTATTGCAAAATTAAAATTTAAAAACATGATAATGATAAGCATCAAAATTTTAGTATTACACATTTTCCTTTCACACAGTGTAGAAAAATCCAAATAACCTCGTGAGTTGTGAGAAAAGAGAAATACGTGACACCAACATTTTCAAACAAAGGACATAAACTGGTTAGGCATTCTCCCCATTGCCCTTGTTTGGTTGCTTAAAAAATAAAGGAAAGAAAGTAAAACTTGTCTAGCTGCAGTGATGCTAGGGCAGCTTGAAAATATTTTACCGCGGTTAAATAGCAAAAGAAAAAAAAGTTATCATTTGTAGTTCAGCATCAAGTTTTTTTTCTGCATCCCCTTCGTAACAAGGCTCCTTATAAAATATGCCTCAACAAAATCAAAAGAACACCTCCATTGACATACAAACTCAAAGCCTCGTGTTCCACAATTGTCCTGGGAACTCCATTGTAAATCTTTTGATCGGAGTGTCAAGCATTAATATATAGATACATAGGGCAATTGGAATTTTACAGATGTCTACAAGACCATACTACCGTTCCAGAGGCAATTTCAAAGACGCAAAAATTACTGAAAACAGCTAATGCTAGGTATGCAAAGCCATGAACAAATTCTGCTTTCGAGCATGCTCTGGTATAAGCCGATGGAGAGTATCAGGTGGAATGTCTGACAGCTCTGTCATAGAGGATAGAAGCATGTTGTAAAAAGGTTGAGAAATTTGAGACATTAAATACAAGTCATTTCAATTATTGTAAGATTTGCATTTCAACATAATTGTAAATGTAGCCGTATCTTCAGTATCAAAAAAAAAAGAAAAAAAGAAAAAGGAAGCTGAGGAGCAAAAAAAAAATAAATGATATCGCAATATGACAAGCATTTTTTTGATTTAGGTATCAAGTCAAAACTGACCTTGTGGTTTGAAATTAAAGAGGGGAGGAAGAGGACGGCCACTCGGAAGGCGAGTGTTGGGGTCCCTCAATTCATCAAAGAAAGGGTGAATGCAAGCTTCCAACTGAAGTACGACCACAGAAACTATGGTAAGCTACTTCACCACCAGTGTTTAATTATGTAGCTATATATATAAGATAATATAAATTGATAAGCGATTTCAATGAAGGTAGAACTTACAGCAGTGCATCGCAAATTGGGGGAGTACTGAAAAAACCTACAAACCAGGTCCACAGCTTCTGGAGGCAAACGTTTTTGGAAGACCTACAATATGAGAATAAAGTCACAGTGAATCTACCATCCAGAAGGATATCAAATAAAATCAATCAAAGTAAGCTCAGAAATTAAAGCAGAAAGCGGGGCATGCATCATCAAAATTGTGCCAACTCATAAACCGGATAATATTGACAAAAATTAGAATGAACAGGCATACACAAACACAACATACAAGGTTTCAGTTAAATCATTAAAATCCTTTTTCCTGAAAGCAAAACAAGATATCTTTGATTTCCATGCACCACAACAGAGAAATTGTTCACTTTCCACACTATACATTCTTAATGTGTGAAACCTATACAAATCACTGCCACTTCCTGAATGCCAATCACCAGACCTGCTATCTAGCTCATAGGATCCCCGACATCTCACTTCACTAAAATTGAGGTAGTTTTGATTTCACCCAGGTCTACAAGCATTTAACAAAATGTCCTTAACTGGACAACGAAGAAACCATCCCTACCCCGCCAAAAAATAAACAAGACTCCCCTTGTAAGTTGAAAGTTGATAATAAAAAAACAGAAGCCAAAAGTACTCCTCCCCTAGCTTTTTTAGCTTATTTAAGATATTTTGGCTTACCTAATAATCTATAAGTAAAAGTTGCACCAAACAGTTTGGCACTGACTTCCAGAACAAAAATATATATATATATATATAAAGCTATAAAAAGCTCATATAAGCTGCACCAAACAGTCCCATTACCAAGTTTGAGTCCTGTAGTGGCCCACATTTCCCAAACGTGGTCAAACTTTGAAAGAACACCAACCAAGCACTAGTACAACCAGCAAATGATGAATAACACAAACATTTACCGTACAATTGTATCTCAAAATCATTAGAAGAAACTAATAATGGGACTGCCATCTCACTTCACTAATATTACATTGATCCACAGACACATGAAAATAGTCACACATGGTCATATATCATGCATTGGGCAAGTACCAGGAATTCACATCATTGGCACCATACATGCACACAGGACAACCCAAGCACATACCCTGAGGCAAATAAACAGAGTGCTTTCAATCACAACTACACGGGATCCTTAGACGAACTTGTTTTAGCTCTTCTGGGAGTTTAATTTTAAGATGGCTTTCAGTTAGGTAACCTATCAAGTCTTTTTTCAATGCCCCAATCCATGTTCCATTTTGGCCTCTTCTCGCCCTTGTAAAGCATTCAAGTTAAACCAAATAGCTCTGTCCTTGTCCAAACTTAGGCCTGCTGTAGTTCACGATGTTGCGAGGCACCTAAGTATGCCATGCCTGTCTCCATACTTCTTTTTGAAACATTTGCAGGCATTTTGGTAGACTGCGACAGATTTATTAGTGCCCCAGATGACATTTTGCTCTGCAAATTTTCAGGTTTCAACTTCCTACCAATAAGCCCAGCCAGATCAAAGGGAAATGAGAAAAAACAAACCCCCTCAATATTCCAAGGGCATAAAAAGACTTCACGTTACCATATTCCAAACCATGTATTAATTAGACTCCAATGTACTTTTCAGGCCTCATTATGGCATGATGCCATCAGCTGGACCATAACAACACATGAATACAAGTGCCAAACAATCAAGACATTAGTCCTAACTTCCAAACTTTAGCTCCACCCAAATATGACTATCATTTATGTAGAAGACATTTTTAACTTCTAAAGATAATTTATTATAAACATCATATAAAAGTGAAGAAAAAGGGAAAATAAATTGGGTATACCTTGTGCCATGGATGAGGCTTTATCTGCGGGAACTTAAATTCAGTATAGTTTGGATTCATGCATTTTATCTCCTCCCTGGTAGGTGTTCCCAAAACCTGTGTAACAATCATTATCCTTTATTTCCACGGGGGATAGTTCCATATAGATTCCTGTTTTCAGAATTTTAATAACTGAAAGATGGTGCAAGCTATTTGTTAGAATATTCCAAGCTTAAGCATTATATGTTTCTGTCTTCTGTACTTACAACAATAGAAGTCTATTTTTCCTTGTTTCCTTTTTTAAATACACATATAAGATGAAAATCTCATATAAGGTTACAAATTTGCAATGCTTGATGTTAGTGAACAAACATCAACAGAAATATCCACTTTTGAAAAAGACATTTATCCAAGGAAGACAAAATTTCAGGAATCAATTTCATAACTAGGTTGATGAAAATATGAAGCAGAAATCTAAAACATGGAACCAATACTTAATGTTTTGGTTCTGAATTTCTAAAAACTGTGTCTATCAATCAGTTTTGCATCTACTAATGATTGACAACTGATTTTCAATATTCAAGTCAATGCCTCAAATTCTGGTAAAATTTTCTGGGCCAGATGAATAGAAAACAGAAGAGATCATAAATACCTTGATAATCTCAACTAACTGATCAACTCCGCTCTCTCCGGGAAACAAAGGCTGCACAAGAAGCTGTTCAGTCACATGCATATCAATGATACAGAAAACACGCATATCAGATGAACTACCTGTCCAAGAAGTAATTCAGCCATCACACAACCTGTAGACCATATATCTATAGCAGTCGTATATTCAGTGGCACCGAATATGAGTTCTGGAGCGCGGTAGTATCTAGAACAGATGTAGGAAACATTGGGTTCTCCTTTCACCTGATGCAATAATATAACAACTAAATTCAGGGAAAAACACAAGATACAACCATGATTAGTCGATGTTGCCTGAAAGACTTACCAAAACTTTTGCACTACCAAAATCACAGAGTTTCAGCTGATGCGTGTGTGGATTCACCTGGATGCAATCGTTTAGAAATTATGTGTCTTTAAAAATAAAATATAGATGATTGCATTTACAAGATATCACTACAAAAAAACCTAAAAAATTAACCTATCTACTTGGATTAAAAAATATTGTCCTTTCACCAACCTAGATAGGCACCATATTACATTTTAATTAGCAACAATCCTTTTTTCCTCCCACCATTCAGCTGACATTATAAAATATATTAATCATTCAAAACATCTTTTTGTTAATCCTTCTACCATATCATCTTGCTTTCTAATCTTCCTCAAGGCTACATTTGTTTGCAGGATGGGATCAGAGGAGACAGATTATCTCTTGGGGTAATGGACCAGATGACATATACCACGGAACTAAATTTGTCTTTTATGATTACTCGTACTATATTTGGCTAGAGTAGAATAAAGGATTGGTCAACATGGGGGTGGGGCCAATGATTTTTGACCATTGGATGGAATGGCCAAGATAATCTGAAGTCGTCCTATATCCCAGGATAATAATACTAGGGGGTGGTATTAGTTATCCCACTGAATGTGGGATTACTAGCCCATTTTTTCAGGGCCAAACATGGGATTATGTGCGGCTATTATGATCCCACATCAGTTAACATAGGCCTTGGCCATGTGCATATAAGCCTCTTGGGCACCCTCCCCTTACAAGCCGGTTTTCAAGAGTGACTTCTACCCAAGGGGTTCATATCATTTGGTATAAGAGCCAGCCATGTGATAATACCACATTTTATTTTTAAATAAAAGTAATATGTTCAAGCAAGAATCACCGTGAAGGCCATTAATGTCACCTAAGAAGTACGGATATGACACGGAAATTTTCAAAATATGTAGGACACAACAGGTGAGGGATATGTGTAATATATAATTTTATATATTTATTATATGTCATATATAAGGATAAATAATTATTATATGATATATATATATATATATATATATGAATATTTAAGTCAAATACAATAAATTTTAAGACTCCGTTTGATTGTCCGGATTGGATATAAAGATATGAATCTACTTAATTTGACTAATGAAATGGCCTTTGATAGGGTCGTGTGGAGAAGAAGGATTCATGTAGCCGACCCCATTTGATGAGACTTAAGGCTAGGCTTGGTTTGGTTTGGTTTGGTTTGGTTTGGTTTGATATATATATATATATATATGAATATTTAAGTCAAATACAATAAATTTTAAGACTCCGTTTGATTGTCCGGATTGGATATAAAGATTTGATGAGGATATGTAATACCTACGGATAAAGATGAGATATAATATGTTATAGGATATGAGATGTACTATATATACTGTGGGGTCACTTATATTATGTTTGGTTAAGATATGATATAGGATGAGATAAGAGAAGAGTAATTATTTTTAACCTTTGGATCAAAGATTTCCTATATCCGATGGTGGGAGATATACAATACCATGGGGAGGTTGATATTATATTGCATATCCTCCTCTTTTGCACCATATACTATCCAGACTTCCTATATTCGAAGCAACTAAACATGTGATATAGGGAGACAAGAAAACAGGTGGGATCCACCTCATATTATATCCAATCCCACCCTCATATCCGCCCCTTATATACTGTAAACAAATAGGGCCTAAAGTCTAAAGGAGAAGAATATATATAAATTTACATTATTTTTGTTTTATCATTGGATTCCAAATTATTTTATTCTAACTTGTAATGAGTTTCATGTATGTCTAGGTGTTGGGAAGTGTCTGACAAGTGTCGTATCAATGTCGGACACGACACTTTACCTTCTTAGAACTGTTCGTGCTTCTTAGACTGCCACCTATTGTGGGGCAAGGTGCGGGCGGACATTAGAATTTTATCCTCCTAAAGAAAGTTGAAATGGATATTAGATATTGTGCTAGGTTCAATGAATTTTGCCCTGCACCAATGCGATTAGTGAAATCAGATGCTATGCACATTTTTTCTCATAATAAACAGTCAGAACATGCATATTTGCATATCATAACCAGTCATGCACAAAGAATTGCAACTTGCAACTACCGACACGGATACGTCACCTTCCTAGAAGTGTCCCTGCTTCTTAGCTGACAAGTGTCGTATCAGTGTCGGACACGACACTTTACCTTCTTAGAACTGTTCGTGCTTCTTAAACTGCCACCTATTGTGGGGCAAGGTGCGGGAGGACATTAGAATTTTATCCTCCTAAAGAAAGTTGAAATGGATATTAGATATTGTGCTAGGTTCAATGAATTTTGCCCTGCACCAATGCGATTAGTGAAATCAGATGCTATGCACATTTTTTCTCATAATAAACAGTCAGAACATGCATATTTTCATATCATAACCAGTCATGCACAAAGAATTGCAACTTGCAACTACCAAATCTGTGCTTTCAAAGAAGAATCTTACAAGCAAATTTTGAGGTTTGATGTCCCGGTGGCAAATACCAATACAATTATGAATATAAGCCAGTGCTCTGCATATCTGCACCCAAAATAAACCCAGAAACTAGAAATAAAAAAGTGGGCAATCCACATAAATATAAATCAGCCTCTACCTGTCATATAACAATTCATATGGCACTCAATTTCCCAATATATTTGGTGCAGAATATTTCATATTGACATCACAAATTTATTGCAAAGAACCTAGTTCTGCACATGCAAGCATTAATTAAGTTGGAAAGGCAGTATTAGGAGACGCCTAAACTTTTTGCTTGGAGCATTGTAAGAAAAACAATGTAGCTTTTATAGAAACACCATGTACTATGACATTGATACCACCACATTATAAATTGCAAAAAAAAAAAAAAAAAAAAAAAAAAAAGAAGAAAAGAAAAAGGATATATATATGATATATTAACTGTTGCAACGACATGTTTGATAAACCAAATTATAAAACTATATGTGTATATATATATAACATATTAACCATTGCAATGATATTAAAGATAAATCGTGTTGTCTATACAGAATTTCATTCACTGCCTACATGATTAGACAGGTAAAGGCATTAACTCAAGCATCAGCTAAGAATATAAACCATCAACCTACAGCATGGGTATAAGATCCAAAAAGGTTAACCAGATCAAATTGGAGAGTGGCCTCTAGCCATGTACATCCTAAGACATGTAATAGACAATGTTTGAATGTGATATTGAACGAATTGGACAACTCTCATCAATTACAAAGCATACTTGCCAAAATGATTGGAGAAAGCTCTAGTAGTACCCGCATCAATTACCATGTGTATTTCTCATACTTAACATGCCATCAAGAAAAGTGTGGCATGGTATCACTAATTCACTATACATCTTATTTTTTGATCAACAATTCACTATACATCTTATAATAACAATAATAATAAACTGCCACATTTATTGGAACACCGAACAAAATTAGTCCAAGAAAATTACGTCGCTACAAAAGATTCAATACAACTAGTACATCTGTAAGATTTCAGAATGAAGGGGACACTAAAATGTTACACCAGATGAAACTGCAACAACAGTATAAAAACCAACGTATGACACCACACATCAATGATTTTACAAAATAACATTTAATTAGGAATTTTTAGAAAACCCTAGCATTAATTTAATATTCTTTTGTCCCTTTCAATCATTACGTTAATAAGTTGTTCCAATAACTCTAATAAACCTAAGGGAACTGGTTTGTAAACAATTTGAAACTAGGGACCTAGAAACACCAAGAGAACACCTAAACCAAAACTGCACACACACTTATGCTGTGTTTGGTTGGGGGATTTGGGGAGGGATTTGGAATGGGAAAGGGAAAAGGTGTGTGAAACTATGTGAAATATAGGTATGATTTATTCACATTTTACCTACTTTTTCCATTTCCCTTTCCAAATCCCTTCACAAATCCCCCAACCAAACACAGCATTAATCACTGTGCAGTTTTGGTTTAGGAAAGATAAAATTATCTAGATTCTTACGTAAGCAAAAACCTGATATCACACTTCAATGAAAGATTGATGTAGAAAACGCACATACAGATACACAAACATACAAGCATGAGAGTGCACTTATATGAACATGCATACACATGAAGTTATGTGCAGAGTTCAGGAAATAAATTCAAAATTATACGACAAATTATTACATGCCTGATAAGTATAGAGTTTGACATATATTAAGGGCATCCTCTGGTTGATTCTGCTGTATTGCCTTGCAATACGGTTAACAGTTTCAGGAACAAATTCAAGTACAAGATTAAGGTAGAGCTCTTCTTTGTCGGTTTTTGAGAAGAAACAATGTTTTAGAGCAACAACATTAGGATGGTCCATCATTTTCATAATCTGTAACTCCCTATTCTTGTAGCGCTTGTCTTGGAGAACCTTCTTGATAGCGACAATCTCTCCCGTCTCTCTGCATTTTGCCTACACAAGACAGCTTAAATTATCTTGATAATGTAAAATAACGGAAAAAAGTATAACTAGTAAGTCAACACAATATCACAGTTCTTACTTGGTAAACAACACCGAAAGAACCAGTTCCAACCACATGTTCTGCTATGTAACTGACAATCTGTCAACCAAACAAAACACGTGTTACAAAAATATTCACCATAAATAACAATGACCACATGAACATTTGAATTTCATACAAATAAATTTTCTGCTAACCTGCTTGGATTGACCATTACGACCACCAATAGTAGTTCTTATCACATGGCCTGCTTCAGCACCCACACCATCAATTATATCCAGTTCACTATCCTGCAATTGATTAATGACCTCCTTTCTTTAGTGAAATAGCAAGCGGACACTATCAAATACAGCAGAAGCAACTGTTCCTTATCTTGGTCCAAGCTTTGTACATATCAACTAAACATTTTATAGGCAAAATGCCCTTATACATGATTAAAATGCTTCAGCACAATACTAAAAAGTGTTCCTTAGTACAGGAAATATTTAAAGGAGCTGAAGTTACTACAAGAGTATTAAAAACCAAGCAAAGCGGAGAGATTACTGAATAAGTAATAAAATGCATACTCTGTCATCCTCATGGTCCACCTTGTCCCTCAATCTCATTTCAAGCATCTCTCTTCCCAGCCAATCAACAGAACTAGATGACCCCTTGAAGCCATTGACTGTCCTGGAACTCCTGGAACTTCCTACCCCTCCATGTCCTACACTAGTAGATGCCATATATATGTTCAATGAGTATTGCAAATGCTATTATTTGCTACCCTCCAGAGTTTTCTCCGTGATTTGGCATTTCGTCCCATCCAAACAATTGTGTTCCTAATACAACAACAATTTCCTGAAGTCAGAATAAAAACCAGATGATTAAAGAAAAAAAAAAAGAAGCTAGTAATATGCACAATGATGATTAAAGATGAATAAAAGGAAAAAGTGCATAAATCATCAGACATAGAACACCTTCACACACACACACACACACAAAAAGAAAGAAAGAAAAAGAAATAAGGATTATTACACTCAAGTCAATAAATTACAAGCTTATTATAGTTAAGTACAATAAATGAAAATGTTTCTTGAAAAGCCTTTGTATAAGAGTTTATTTATTGACAAGTCAAAAAGTCATTTTGTCCATGTCCATGTCCATCTCTTTCCCACCACTTCCATCCTCTCCATCCATCATCATGGCGATTTTCCATGCTATTCCTCACTGCCGAGTGAAAGAGATGGTATGCATTCTGCATCCTGACACCATGGCCCTCTCCACCCAATCACCACGGCCATTATCAATGGTACTCTCCTTGCATCACTATGACCAAGTGATTCTCATAATGATGTTATTTCTCATGGGTTCAGTGGGTTGTTTTCCCATGTATATTTGCTACTGTAATTATCTCTTCAAGCAATGGTGATCTGTCATGAGGAGGTTCAACTCAGAGATAAAAAGATGTTCCAAATGTTATTGTCGATTGACAGCATCATGTTGTCAACATATCATATTTCCAATTTAAAATTTCCTTACCATAAGTCCCTTTTCTTGAACCAAAGAGAAGTAAACTGCTTCTGTGTGATAGGTGCCAAAATCTACACATTGAGGCCCCCTAAAGCACACTTGTTAGGTTGATGGTTTTTAATGGGTTTGCATATGTGCACGTCCTTCGGAATCTTAGGATGATATTGAGCTTAATTTGGAGGATTCGAGATCCAAAGAGTAGAATCAATTGATGCCCGGATGCACAAAAGCAAATTTGAAGTTTGAGGTCTAACCAGGTGGAGGTCCTTTGCAAAGAATTGTTTTTTTTTAAATTTTAAGGAGTTGCCACTGGCACTGTACGCATGGGTGGAGCCTGTTGTGCGTTCACACGGAGCTCGATGCAAAGAAACACTAAAACATGCGAATTTTGACCTAAGTGGGATTGAACAGGAAACATAGTGTAAATATGTGTCTCCAAATTTAGTCTAAGGTAGTTCAAACTTTGGGAAGCGGCTCCTAAGTGAGAATGGTCCTCTCTTCCTTCTCCATGAGTGACTAGGCTCTTCTTCTTAGGGTTTAGATGAAACCCTAGTCATGTAACGATGATTTGTGTATTGTAACTTAAAGGAATGATTGATAGTACAATAGTTGTATTACCTTAGGCAATTTTATTCAATGGAATTTGAAATCTGTGATTTTGAATGCATGGTTATACAAGAGATTAACTCCGCCAGGGTTGTTTAACAACTCTGTTGGTCCCAAGCCCAGGTAAAGAGGAGGGTTGTGTGTTAGGTAGTCGACAACCAACACGTAAAAAGTTGCTTGGATCCTTTACGAAAATGAATCCTACTTTGAATCGATTAAATGCTAGGTTCTTCCCCTTAAGTGATGCGTTGTGCCTGCCTCCAGGTGTTTCGAAAAGTGAGCAAGGGGCGCCGCATCGATGCCTGGGTGCGGTAAAAAATGAGCAAAGGTTTCCGCTTTTTTTCTGGATGAGTGCAGATAAAGAAGCTAGTTCAAGACTATAGATTTAGGGTAGCCACATGGAATGTAGGAACTTTAATTGGTAAAACTATGGAATTGGTAGATGTCATGATTAGGAGGAGGGTTAGTATAACTTGCGACAAGCAACTAAGTGGACGGGTGAGAAAGTTAGGGAATAGAGAATACCGATTTTAACCTATATTATAGTGGCAAGGATGGACACAGGAATGAGGTAGGAATAATATTCACCACGAGTCTTGTAGAAAACGTAATTGCGGTCATTAGGAAAAGTGATAGAATTATGCTAGTTAAACTAGTTATTGGAGAGAATATAGTAAATGTTTGATGCAGGACAATTAGGGACAGCAGCAAATATAGGCTTTTGGGTCTAATTTTAATTGGATTTTATGGTTGCAATTGCAATAAGAATATGGGGGACAAGTAGAATTTGTTTAGGATAATAAATAGATAAGAGTTTAAGCATGAAAAAATTGGATTTTAGCACTGTTTAGGGGCTGTTATGAGGATGTGAATAGTAACTCGTGAACAGTAAACTAAAACAGAAAAGAAGAAGAAAGAAGAGAAGAAGATAGGCCTAGGCATCACACTTAGATTACATAGGCATCACACCTAGGGTTTGATTGCATCACACACCCCATAAAGAAGTTTCAAAGCTCTCAACTTTTTATAAAATATCAACTCTATTAAATTATAAGCATTACATGACTTTATATAGGACTAGGAGACTTCCTAAACCAACTAAAACTAAAATAGGAAGCTACTAAAATATCTTTAACTTCCAAAACTAATTTAAGACTAAATAAGAAACAAAAACAAAGACTAATTAAATGACTTGGCTCACAAGATGACCCATGGGCGACCCTCTATAGCCCATGTAGGCAAATATTAAATAACCAAAATACCTCATGCTTAAAATCCTAGAAACATAAAAATAATCATAAAATAAAACTAAAATAATATTAGAAATATGATTATGTATGATTCCTATCCATTTCTCTTTGAAATTATTCCAATTTTCAAATATCGCCGCTTCTTTAAATTTACTCTTCCTTGAGCTTCTTATATTTCGCATTAACGTTATTAGTGCATACGCCCCCAAGTAGGATTAGATGATCAGACTAAGAAAGATTTTTGGAACCAAATGGATGAAGTATTATAGGAGATACCCGTAGGAGAGAACCTAGTTATAGGTGGGGATTTCAACGGCCATGTAGGAATAGATAAACTAGGATATGAGACGGTGCATGGTGGGTATGGTTTTGGTGATAAAAATGAGGCTAGAGAGTATTTTAAATTTTGCGTTGACTTCTGACTTTGTGGTGGCCAATACTATGTATAAGAAAAAGAGGAGCATTTGATAACCTTTAAGAGTGAGTCAATTAGAAGCCAAATAGATTACTTTCTAGTAAGAAAAGTGGACCGTCTGAAATGCAGTGACTGTAAGGTGATTCCTGGAGAGAGCCTGACGTCTCAACAAATAATTTTGGTACTAAATTTATGCCTTAAAGGGCAATACCAAACTAGGGAAGATAGTGGAGATAAACTAGAAATATTTAAGGATAGAATAGATAAAGAAGGTACTTAGGATTTGGAAGATGATGCTAACACTATGTAGAACTCGATGACCAATTGTATGAGGAGAATCTCAAGAGAAGTTCTTAGAGAGTCAAAAGGAAAGGAACCCAACTCTAGGAAAACTTGGTGGTGGAGAGAGAAGGTTCAAGTGGTAGTAAAGACGAAAAAAAAGTACTTTAAAAAGTGACAGAATGATAGAACTGAGAAAAACCTTAAAAGCTACAGATTGGCTAATAAGGAAGTCAAAAAAATAGTGAAAGAGACTAAGTTGAAAACTTATGATGACCTATACACTAGATTAGATAGTAAGAAGGGAGAGAAGAGGATATACAAAACTTGCTAAGATAAAAGAGAAGGAAACAAAAGATTTTAGTCAGGTTAAGTGCATCAAGAGTGAGGACTCTAAGATGTTAGTGAAGGATGAAGATATTTAGAGGAGGTGGAAGAACTATTTTGAGAAGTTATTAAATGAGGAACATGGAGGTAGGTCAAAAGGGGAGAAAGTAGGCATTAATAAGAAAAACTAGGACTACAGGTTCTATCATAGGATTAAGAACTTTGCAGTGGAGATTGCCTTAAGAAGATGAAATCGAATAAGACTTTAGGACCAAATGACATCCCTATTGAAGCTTGGAAATATTTGGTTAAAAAAGGGGTAGCTTGGTTGACTAGGTTATTTAGCAAGATTTTGTTAACTAGGAAAATGCCAGAGGAGTGGAGGAAGAGTATCTTAGTGCCAATCTATAAGAATAAAGAAAATATCTAGAACTGTAACAACTATAGAGGAATCAAGCTAATGTGTCATATAATGAAAGTGTGGAAGAGAGTAATGAAACGTCGATTGCGAGATATAGCAGAGGTGTCAGAGAATCAATTTGGATTTATGCCTGGTAGGTCAATAATGGAAGCGATCTATCTTTTGAGGAGAATAATAGAAAAATATAGAGAAAAGAAAGAGACATTCATATAGTTTTTATCGATCTTGAGAAAGCATATGATAGAGTACCTCAGGATATAATCTGGTGGGTGTTAAAGAAAAAAAAGGATGACAAAAGGCTACATTTATGTGATTAGGGATATGTATGAAGGTGTGATGACCACTATTAGATCGCTGGCCGAAGAGACAAGTGAATTTCTACTTACTGTAGAGTTACACCAATGATCAACCTTAAGTCCTTATCTTTTTGCTTTAATTATGAATGAGTTGACGAAAAATATTCAGGATAATATGTCATAGTGTATGATTTTTGCAGATGATATCGTGTTAGTGGATGAGACTAGAGAAGGAGTTAACACTAAGTTGGAGATTTAGAGAGAAGTACTTGAATCTAAAGCATTTAGGATAAGTAGAACTAAGACAGAGTCCATAGGGTGCAATTTTAGTAACAGTAACAATAGTAGTAGAGAAAAAGTGAAGATTGAGGATCAAGCACTACCTAAGGGTGAACATTTTCGTTATTTATGATCGATTATTACAACGGCTGGTGAGATTAGAGCGGATTTGGTCCATAGAATTAAGGCAGGGTGGCTTAAGTGGAGCAGTGCGTCTGGGGTACTGTGCGATAAATGAGTACCCATTAGACTAAAAGAGAAGTTCTATAAAATGGCTATTAGACCAACGATGTTGTATGGAACGAAATGTTGGACAACTAAGAAACAACAAGTAGATAAGATGAGTGTTACTTAGATGAGGATGCTAAGGTGGATGTGTAGTAAGACTAGAAAAGACAGAGTTAGAAATGAGTATATTTGAGAATGGATAGGAGTAGTACCGATAGAAGATAAGTTGAGTGAGAATAGATTGAGATGGTTTGGTCATATACAATACAACGGAAACCAATAAAGACAGTAGTGAAGAGATGCGATACAATTACGGTAGATGGAAGTGTTACGCTAAGGGGCAAACCTAAATTGCCGTGGGCTAATGTGGCAAATAGAGATATAAATCTCCTTAATTTGACTAACGATATGGCCTTCGATAGGATCAAATGGAGAAGAAGGATTCATGTAACTGACCCCATTTGATGGGACTTGAGGCTTGGTTTGGTTATACAAGAGATTGAGAATTAAGAAATTATACTAAGTTAAACAAATCATACTCAAGTTGGTTGTAGACAATTTGTACTAGACAAAGATAGGTCATACTCAATTATCAATCACGTGATGCTCTTGACGACATCATTGGGCTTGTAGCCACAACGGGTCATGATCATATTAATCAATTAATTCTCTAAACCAATATATCAATCAAAGTCACAAAGTTAGGGTGGATTCGAAGCCCCATGTCATGCTCAACTTTCAAATCACCACTACAGAATCAGGTTTTTGCTTACCTGCAAAAAACAAAAAAAAAACCTCAAATTTGTGGAAAATTTAGGGAATTTGCTTATGCCCTGGTTGGGCTTGGGCATACATGTTCAGGTTGCAAATCAAGCTTGGGCAACGTTCAGCATAACTCGAGCTGTACCTAGGCAACACCTCAAGTTGCCCGAGTTGTACCCCTACATTTAATTTAATTGAACTTTAATTTCAGGTTTTAATTTATTTATGAATCCATACAACTTAGCCTCTTAGTCCCCGAGTTTGATCTAGATTCAAGCCACTATTCTATTGAATTTAGGCATTAGTTTGGTTACTGATTTTAAATGATCAATGTGCCACGTCAACTTGAACAACAGTCTCTAAAAATGGTAGGTCATCACAATCAGTTCAAATGAGGTGCGTTTCTCTCCAACCAAATAGAATCTTTATGGGCTAAGGTGAGCTATTTGGCTTCGTTTTGGGCTTTTGTGTCTTCTCCCTTTAAAGGAGTTCCATTTTTCTTGGTTTCTAGGGGTTGAGATGCTATTTGCCATCCTTAGGCCTCGTTTGGGAACCCTCCCTTTTAGCCAAAAAGTTACTAAATTAGCCAAAAAGCCAACAACCCATACCAAAAAGTCAAAGATTCTCTTTTCTCTCTACTTTTTGCACATCTTGTCGTAAAAAGCCAAAAAGTCATTACAAACATACTAGTTTTTTTTAGCTCATATTTTAATCAAATAGCCAAAAAGTTACTAAATTAGCCTGTTCCCAAACGAGGCACTAGTGATTGGATTTTTCTTGTTCTTTCCGTTTTTGTTTTGTTTTGACTTCTTGCCTTGTACGGGGACTTCTTGTCCTGTCTATTTTCTCTTGCTAATGTTTAATAAAATTCTTTGTTGCCTGGGAAGCATAGATACGGATACGAGATACGGACACGACACGATACGGATACGGCGATACGACAAAACCTAAAAAAATAGGATACGGGTACGGCTAGGATACGTTTGTGAAAAATATAATTTTTAAAATTATTAATAGTGAGTTACATATAAACTAAAGAATGTTAAGAAATCACAATGTAATTTTATAATGCACAATACTATCCTTTAAGAATTTTGTATTAATTTAAGCTAGTAGCTTGTTTACTTTTAAAATTTTTAATAGGTCTTGCAAATATTTCATTTCAGTATCAAGTTTAATATATTTATATTAAAATAATAGAACAATTCACAACTTGTCCCTATGCTTTTTCCTTTGACACTAGTGAAAAATATTATATTCAAGTTTACTTGCTTATTTATTTATTGATATTTAATTTTACCATTGTTATATTCTTTTGTTAATTCTTAGTTTCTATGTAGTTATAGGGGACATGTAAGAAATAATTAGGATACATCAATTTGATAAATTCTATTATTTAATTCACTATGCTCTTCTTATTGAAGAACTTAACAAAGTATTAGAAAAATATTCTTATATTTATACTTGCAATTATATTATATTATATTACTATGCAATAAATGTTACAATTCTAATTTCATAAAACAAGTAAACATGGCTTGGAGTATCTAATACTTCAAAATTAAGTATCCGATACTCCAAAATTAATGAAAAATTAATTAAGAAGTATCTGATACTTTTAATAAGTATCCGATACGTATCCGCGAGTATCCAAGGAGTATTGGTATCCGATACGGATACGATACGGATACGTCACCCTATTTGAAGTATCCGTGCTTCATAGTTTGTTGCTATTCCAAAAAAAAAAATGGTTCAAAAGAGGTAGAGCAGGGGTTTAGAATTCTGCATTTGGTAAACTTATACATGCAAAAGAGAGGAACCTATGCCCTTGTTGTCTAACTTTGAAACTCATTATCATCTCAAAAAAAAAAAAAAAATAGTCTAGACAACAAAGAGTTCATTAAATGTATAAGACAAAATGACCAAATAAGGGGATAGAACACCAAAGTTACATTAACAATACATCTCCATTATGTAAATAAATTCTATCCTTGTATTCATAAATGAACTAAAATTCCTTAAAATTCCTTATGAAAAGAGAACACAAAGAACAAGACCTCCTAAAGGAGAAAATTCCAAGCCATCTAAACAAATTCATGGCATAGGGCACAACTTCCCCATATGCTATTTATGGCCATACGATGAAACTCTTAGGTTCAATATGACTTTGTAATTCCGTGGCCAGTTGTTACTCAATCATGTTAAATCAATTGTTCAAGTTTACAAAATGATTTCATGCATACAGCCGTCATATGTTGTACTTATCTACCTACAAATTAAATTGGTAAGTAGAATTCAATAGCGATGGAACATGACTCAATTGCTATGTTATTTTCATCTCATAATGTCGCCACATTCCAATACAAATACATGCACCCATGTATCCTTGTTAGTTCATCCAAACTATTCTAACTATTATATGATGTTCAACAAATCCACAGCCATTTACATAGAATAATAACTCATAATAAAGTTTTACAAGGGATCCAAATTAAAGCCCATCATGTCCTTCATATAACCAAAAGGAACCAATTTGTTCGTCGTCATCATTAGATCAAAAAAGAAAATTATGAAATAGAAAATATTAATATCAGAGCATGGTTTTTATCCAAAAGGGTTATTCAGATGATATTGTCCAGTTCCATAACCAAAAAATAATAAAGAACATGTAAATAATACTTTTAGGGATTGTTTGATTGGATGGACTATAGCATAAGATTGGGATTATTAATTGATGGGATTCACATTACACAGTTTGGTTGCAAATTTTATTATTCAGATTAGATTCCAATGGCAATTCTATCCAACAAAATTGATGATTTTTTAATCCAACAGCTAATACTGCAAAACATAGATATAATTGGGATTATATATTTTCCAATTTATTGAAAACAAACTTGTACAATAGAGAATTATATATCTCACTAATCCAGGTGGATAAAATCCTACACTAGTCTCATGGTTGTTAATCTCCTCACTATTAATCTTGCTAATCAAACACGCCCTTAAATCTTTTAATTTATTACTTGAAGCCGGAAAAACTCCACTCCACTCCACTCTACTCTCTGCCTAATTGAAGTCAGGTTTTCTAAGTTTGCAAATTGCAATCCAAACCAACATTATTCATCCATAAAATTCAGATTATCTTCTTTCATTTTTTCATTCGAATTCTCAGCAGCCAAAAATGGTAGTTACATTGTTCGACCTATTTTACCTATTTTTCACGCACATCAAACTGATATCTATGCTAGAGTCCAACTCTAAAAAATATATTCTGGTCCTGATGAGATCTAAGCCCAAATTTACTCCAATTTTTTACGAATTCAAATTCAAAACCCGTAACCTAATTTAAACGTTTCAAACATATAATCTGTATACAGAAATTTAAACATATATACCTATGTGTATATATATATATAAGTACAGTAGTTGTCCCTCACCTGGACGAAATTCGCGAAAATTTCGAAGCAGAGTTGGTGCATAACACTGAAAATCGAATCAATTTCACAAAAATGGTCTTTGAGATTGATGGATTACAGGAATAATTTATATATATATATATATATAACTGTGTATGTGATGAATATGTGAAGATGAGGTGGTGATCGATGAGATTGATCAGGCTCAGCGAAGCGTGAAGTGTCGATCTGATTAGTTTCTCTCTCTCTCCCTGTAGATTGCTGACAGTCTTCTCTGATAGCGTTTTGGCGAAAAACTATTCAATACGTGTGGGGCGTTGCATATTCATATTTTTTTATTAATTATTATATATCATGTCCTCTTATTTTCTCAATTGTTCGATACAAAATTATAAATTTTACTTTTTTCACCAATTATAACACATTAAAACACCACGTCCAAGAGCACCTAATAACCACTACTCTCTGGATATATATTCAGGTGTCAATGGCATCATTAAGCATTATTGTTTAATTCCACCAATCAAGTTCCGCCACCTTGCTACTTAGGCCCGGGAATCAGCTAATAATTCGAGTCATTATTATCCAAATTGATTATTCATACAAAAAAAATTAACAATTATATATAGGATTATATTCACATATCTCCTAAATAATCGACAATTATTATTTTCACCTCTTAAATTATAAAAATATATAAATTAATCTATAAATTATTAAAAAGTATTAATTTATTTCTTAAACTATAAACTCTTAAGTTATAAAAACGTGCAAACTAAATATATATATTCAAAATCTCTATATAATAAAGTAGGAGAATTCTTGTAAATGTGTCAAAATATCTTAAAAATATATTTGTTTTAAAAGTTGAGATTAATTCCTAAATTCATTACGGGACAAGATTTCATTAATTCTCACTCTCCCACCTTTTTTTTCCCCACATTTTTCATTTATGTAATCTCTCTCCTGCCCACTTTCTTTCCTTTTTCTTTTTTATTTTTTTATTTTTTTATTTTCCTTCTTATTTCTTTATTTTTCTTTTATTCACTTATTTTATTCATACTGTGCCTTCAGACACCGACATACACTAGTACTATATGTATGAAATTAAAAATAGTACGGGACAAGATTTCATTAATTCTCACTCCCTGCCTTCTTTTTCCCACATTTTTTACTTATGTAATCTCTCTCCTGCCCATTTTCTTTCCTTTTTCTTTTTTATATTTTTATTTTTTATTTTCCTTCTTATTTCTTTATTTTTCTTTTATTCACCTATTTTATTTATACTGTACCTTCAAATACAGGCATACACTAGTACTATATGTATGAAATTAAAAATAGTACATTTGATTTGATTAAAAGAGAAGTAGATATAGATTGGTCTTATATCTCTCTCTTTTTTTCTTTCTCTTTTTTTTTTTTTGTATTTTTTGATATTTGATATAATAAAAAATAAAAGTTAATGAAAAACATTTTTCATGATCAATAAAAAATAAGTCTATTTTGACAACAAATATTTTTCACTTTTAAAAGATGAAAAATATTTTTCCAACTAAAATTTTACTAATGTCATCACACCACCACCACCATTAGTAGGCGTGTGCGCGGTGCGGTTCGGACGGTTTGAGAGTAAAATTACAAATCGAATGACGGGTTAACGGATTAACGGATTGACAAATTACGGTTTGGACGGTTTTTGACGGATTGGCGGATTGAAGAATATTTTCACTAATTATCATGCATTTGTAACGCCCTCAAAATTAACCCATTATATATATATCATTGACATGCATTAATTAAAGAAGACAATTTATTAATTCATTCATCAGAGTATTACTAAATAAAACATTACATGTAACATTGAATAAAATGCCTTACAGGCTTACATCTTTCCAAGCCAACACTTGGATACAAAAAAAATATGAGTTCTAACTCAAAACAAGAAAAGCCCTAGGCTTGAATGTTTACATGTACTAATAAATAAAGACAATTAACTAAAGGTAGTCTTCTTCAAACCAGAAGCCAAACCCTCCCAAGCTAAGTCCTTGGAGGTAGTTTATCACCAGAACCTGAAAATGATGTTCCCATAAAGGGTGAGCCACAACCCAGTAGAAATATACTAAACCACATATAAGCAATGAATAAAGCAATAGCATTCAACAGATGGTTAACCAAGATAAACAATTACTTCAGTTTATAGTCTCATGACACTATTGTCTAAGACACGTTTTACTTTCCAACTTTATCAACATGGCTCAGAACCTGGCCAAACTTACAACAGTGAATTACATATATCATATTCACATCCTTCCAATATCAACAAACAAATGAGACTCAAGCTCAAATCAAAACACTTCAATATAAATAAGCACACATAAAAGTGATGCTAATGGAGTCCATCCCCTATCTCCTCCCAAACAAAATCCGGTTTAGAGGTCCATCCCCTATCTTCCCCTAAACCGTGGAGTACAACCCCTATCTCCTCCCACACAAAACAATATATGCAAATGCAATGCTCAATCAATACACGTATTTTCTGTATCAATGCAATAGTCAAAATTAATGACTTAACCAATGTGATTAGTTTCAGTTATTCCTAATCCACATGCAATGTCTACAACAATCACGACTATCCTCCACCGATAGCCCAAAACAGTTATTTCTAAACTGAAAAGAACTATATCATCAATTCAATAGACAAATGATACAAATTATCCAATTATGCCAATTAATCAATGAGTTCCCCAATTCCATGAATTTAACCATCTTTGGTTCTTACACGTGAAATCGTAACAGTTAACTCCATGCACTTTTTCTCAAATCCCATTTTGGTCCCTACATAAGTGTTAATGTCTCACTTCTGTTATTTTTTTAATTTTTTTTTAACAAAATCCAGTCATGTGACAAAAATGTAATTACGAAATGAGACTAAGTGAGGAAAATTATCAATGTTTCCCACTAATACACTTTGTTTTACGTGATAAACACATGAGAGTTATATAATACAATACATATATATACTACATATTAAGTAAAAGGGGGTTTTTTTAACCCCCAAGACCTGTAGGAGCTTCAATATCCCAATATGAATTTTCTAAATTTTTTATTAAAAAAAAAAACTCAGCAGTATGCCATTTGGGCTTACCAATGCACCGGCAGTCTTTATGGACTTGATGAACCGGATTTTCCGGGAGTTCTTAGACCGATTTGTGCTCGGCTCGAGCGACCAGACACAGAGAAACTACGCTCGAGCCAAGGAAGCCTTGCTCGAGCCAACAACTCAAAAGCTCGCTCGAGCGAAAGAAAGCTCGATCGAGCGTAGAACTCAAACCCTCAGGTCTGCAACAAGACACACGCTCGAGCGAAGGAATTATTGCTCGAGCGAAGGACGAACTAACTCGCTCGAGCGAAGAAAATCTCGCTCGAGCCAAGAATGCACAGCTACAGGTCCAAATCAAACGCAACCTCTCGCTCGAGCGAACAACTCCTCGCTCGAGCGAAGAACCAAAAACCTGGACAGCAACACTTGGTTTCTAAACCCAACCAACCTGAAACAAATCTGCCCAACACATCCTATAATTCCAAAAGAGAAAATAAGGGACAACAACAACAATTATACAATGACAGAATCTACGGAACCTAAGTCCGGATACAATAATCAAATGGGAAAAGACCGGGGTCGCTATACATTTGCATAATATATAACACTAATTTGTATAATATTTTTTAAATATATAATACAAAGTAATTTTACATAATATGTTTCATATATATAACTACTAATTCATATATATAACCACTAATTTGTAATAAATTTTATGTTTTAAATCTCTCTCACACTCATTTTTACATTGATATTTTATTGGAAGTTAAAAAATGTATATGTATTAACTACAGCGGAGCGGAGTGGTTTGGTTGGTGGATTATAAATTTTAAAGTTTAAATCGCAGTTAGCAGTTAGAACGGTGCGGATTGATGCAGATTGGTGCGATTTTAGCGGGTTGGGCGGTATTTTGCACAGCCCTAACCATTACCACTTTCACGTCCACTACCACACCACCATCGCTATGGCCACCGTCACCTTCACTACCACCGTCGCCCTACCACCATGACACAGGCTCCATGCCTACTTTCATTCCACCACTCCCACCACCACAACAATCACCAAACATAAAAAAAATATTTTTCAATAAAAAAAAGCCTAGACAAAATTGATGAAAATATTTTTCTTTTCTAATATTTTATATTAGATGCTGTTAATGGCTTGTACGAAAATTTATGCCTAACATTAGATATTTTAAGGCCATAGCTTCTTTCTAATTCGAAATCAGATTAAATAGTATTGTTTGGCTGTGTGTGGGCTTGATTTTGGGCTTATATCAATAATATAAACTGTTGAATATGTAAAATTCGTCAAATATATCATTCTTATAAAAAATTACATTGATCAGATATGGATAACTATTTGATCAGTTTTTATTTGTTTTAACGACAATTATGATTTTCCAAATAAATCGCAAACACAAATGCAAGAATGATGTGCCCAATTAATGTATTTTTTTTAAAGAATAATGTACTCAATAAGTTTTACACATTAAACAATTTGAATTATTAAGATGAGTTCGAGATTGAACCAACCATGACCCAACAACACCGTCCAATCTATTGCCGGACTGAGGAGCTAGACCCATATTTTAAGGTTTTTACTACAACAAATGTGTTTGGTATCTATATTTTCAATGTGTTGCCAATAAGTTTTTTATTTTGAGTTAAATTACAATTTTCACTTTGAACTTTCATCTAAATTTTATATTAGTTAATACAACAATCAATTCCTTAAATTTTTTCCCGTATTTTAATATGGACCATCTGTCCCCCTGTTCGAAATTTGAATAAAAATTGCGACACTAAGGGATTAAAGTAAAATTTGATGAAAAATTTAAGGGTTGGTTTGGGGTGTCCTAAAAAAGTGCACTTTTTGTCTTTTTACGAAAAGATGTGCAGAAAAGTAGAGAGGTGATGTGATGGAAAAAAGATAAAAAGATAAAAAGATGGATTATATAAGTTATGCCAAACCTAGCCTAAGTGTAAAAAGTGTAATTTATCATTCAAATTCTTTCCTCTAATGCCCATAACATGTCCTCAAGTGGCTTTTAGAGTATCTCCAACGTTATATTTTTGTTTTTCTATCAAATTTGAGTAAAAATTTAAGTAAAAACTTTATTTAATATCGCATGTTCTAGCGAAGTACTTCGATCTTTCATCAAATCACAAGTTGATCGAGTGGATGTCCGGCCGGTCGA